AGTACACAGATGGAAGTTTCACTCGTCACGTGAACACTGGAGTGTTCAAATTACTAGCCGGGAAATCATGGCTTCGGGACTCCCTGGATTCTCATGAGACGCGCCTTGATGGTGCTTTCACTGAGGACGAACTGGCTGTACACCAGTTCTCGGGTTTTCGGCCTAGACTGGATTCATCTACCGGACAAAGTTTCAGCTACAAAAACCTCTGGCTATTATCAAACTACCAATGATGTAGGGCCAGGTTGTTATTTTGCCTGTCTTCTGACCTGGGTGTGTCAGTCGCTGCGCTGTAGCCCAGGTAGCCCAAACTTCAGTCTGGGTGAGCTAAGAGTTCAACCCCGGACTATACTATACTATACTATACTATACTATACTATACTATACTATACTATACTATACTATACTATACTATACTATACTATACTATACTATACTATACTATACTATACTATACTATACTATACTATACTATACTATACTATACTATACTATACTATACTATACTATACTATACTATACTATACTATACTATACTATACTATACTATACTATACTATACTATACTATACTATACTATACTATACTATACTATACTATACTATACTATACTATACTATACTATACTATACTATACTATACTATACTATACTATACTATACTATACTATACTATACTATACTATACTATACTATACTATACTATACTATACTATACTATACTATACTATACTATACTATACTATACTATACTATACTATACTATACTATACTATACTATACTATACTATACTATACTATACTATACTATACTATACTATACTATACTATACTATACTATACTATACTATACTATACTATACTATACTATACTATACTATACTATACTATACTATACTATACTATACTATACTATACTATACTATACTATACTATACTATACTATACTATACTATACTATACTATACTATACTATACTATACTATACTATACTATACTATACTATACTATACTATACTATACTATACTATACTATACTATACTATACTATACTATACTATACTATACTATACTATACTATACTATACTATACTATACTATACTATACTATACTATACTATACTATACTATACTATACTATACTATACTATACTATACTATACTATACTATACTATACTATACTATACTATACTATACTATACTATACTATACTATACTATACTATACTATACTATACTATACTATACTATACTATACTATACTATACTATACTATACTATACTATACTATACTATACTATACTATACTATACTATACTATACTATACTATACTATACTATACTATATACTATACTACTAGCCCACCGTCGAGTTCACGTCCATGAGATGCTTGGTACGAACGTGGTCGCCCAATCGGTCCACGTTGATTGTCCTCACCTCTTTCGGACGAAGGTTGACCTGAGTCAACACCGCCAGCACGCACACCCCACCAGAATAATGCAGATAAGCTCGATCGAGGAAAGAATTCTCGTATCCGCTGGTTCCAAAAAGAGTCACAATCAATCTTGCGCCTGGCTTACAATTTATATCCGTCTTGTGACACGCAAACTGCGCTGTTCGCGAGATTGGAGCAGTATTTTCCTGGTCGATCGGCTCTCAGCATCGAAACCGGCTTATGGGTGTTCAGTTGGCGAACATGACAGAACGAATCATCATCTGGTGGCCCTGACCAAACCATCGGTGAAACAGTGGCCTACTCGTCAGAAGCCGATGACTATAGCGTCTCGTCTAAATAGACCATGGATTACTCCGTGTCAGTCTTGGAATCCCACCCTGTCAGCTGGCTTGCTAGCGTTGACCTTCGGGCATTTGCCCGAGGGTGGTGGTAGTCTGACATCATGACAACGGAGTAAGTTCTGTCACTTCTGGGTCCCCACGCCTCCAAGCATTTCTATACACCTGAAAAACTGTATCTCAACGCCGTCGTCAGCTAGTCCATCGGCCAACTGAAAGCAGACCCACCGAGGCAACTACGCCACCATTCCATTCTTCCACACCTCCGTTACATTAAGAAAGTGAATCCATACTACTCAATGGGCAGATAAGTGCAGTAAACCCCTCGTTTCACCTCAAAAGGCAGCGATCGGTATCTGAAACCCTCCTGTTCTGCATCATTGGCTTTCAGTCCAAAAAACATGAATTTTTCGTAAAAAAAAGTCCCGGAAACATTTACTGATGCACGTTTCAGCCAGAGATGTGAATCCCAATATACGACCATATCTTTATGTGCTTTCCCAAGAAGACAACGTGGCGAATATCCGGGTCCAGAAGTCTTAATCTGCCTTTCTGTCCACGTCTGTCTGTTTTCAGAGAAATTGGTCTACTTCACTGATAGTCTATTTTTGTAGAAAATGCCACCTGGGATGTAGTGTACCAGTCCGAATGCTGGAAGGTCCTGTTCAACCAGCCTCTGACGAGGACCTTTTAGATCTGGATTATGCTGCCGAAATCGTTCTCGTTTTTTGAAAAGAAGAGGGCAAATGAGTTTTTGGATGAACTGACCAAAATCATCCCGTCCTTTTGGCATGCACTTTGCACCCACAAGCTGTAAGGTCATGCTCGTGGTCATGCAGTCACTAAACATGCCACTTACAATCCAGGAAGAAACAATTCCAAATTGTGAAAGGTTTCACGTATGTTGGGGGTTGTACTAGTTCTGATTGTCATGTGAGATCAGTGCGTGAATCTTCAAGGCCCGGATCGCGTTTGCTAATTTGGGACACCTAAGGCATCAAAGCGGCATATCCCGGAATCTGAAGGGATGTGTGAATCAGACCACTGTACCGGTTGTTTCGTCATACGGCTATGAGACTTGTCTTTTCGATTAGCGAAACTGAAATGTTTTCAATTCTCCGACAACCGTTGTGTGGGTTGATGTCGGCGAATCCGTGGTTTGGCAGTTATAAGGCGAGTGTTCGGTTGTGCAACGGGGAATTCAATCAAAGTTTGTGTCTAGCATCGGAAACAGCGTTGTTGAGGCCATGTGTTGTGTATGTCGAACCGTCGTTTGACGAAGAGGCTGCTACTTCCCATGTCCTATTTTAGAGGGGCGGTAGCAGAGGTCGCTAACCATTGAGCTAGTAGGGGCGTACAAGAGAGATTACGAAAGCTCTGGAAGCTGTAGATACGAATTATTTTGCAGGATGGGATCCCACTGTGCCTGGTTGGAGACGCTGCAAGATTTGGCCACTAATTCATGTCAATGGCGTTCTTGTTGTCATTCTCTATCCAGATTTTCTAAATGACTGGCTGGAGGTGCAGGCACCCCGGAATGATTGAAGTAGCGCCAAGTCCCTTCCCCAGTCCACTTTTATCGTTCTCAAGTTTTTTAAATAAAAATGGTGGTTGTAAGGCAGCGAAAAGTTGGCGTTGAGTGCTGATGTTATGCTGTCGCCGGTTATGATGATGATGAGGAGGATGATGATGAGGATAATGATGATGATGATGATAATGATGCGGATGATGATGATGATGAGTCCGCTTGGAGTTGTTGTGGATTCCCCATAGGCAGAACAGATCAATGGGTGGAACTATTCACAAGGTTACTGAAAACCCTTCGACAGCTCACGACCGGTTTCGCTCCTCTTGGGGCTCATCAGGTAGACGCAATCCCCGAGTTTCTGTCTACCTTATGCTCTACTTAAAGTGCTTCGATGAACCTGTGAACACATCCCACAGTGACGGAAAGAGTCCAGAGGGCTGTGGGTTTGTCAAAATCTTCGGCCGCCGACAATCAAGCTTTTAATCACAACATGTCATTGAGAACGAACCAACGATAGCAATCTTCCGAGACCTTTATCTTTGAAGAGGTACTGTTTTCCACCAGAATATGAGGAGTACAACTAATGCTTGCATGATCGATTCGACTACCACACAGTGCTATGATTTGGGCGTAACATGTTACTCATAAGGCTACTGGAAACTTTTTCACAGCCAACGACTGATTTCGCCCCGTTTCATCACTGCCTGCACCTGATAAGTACTAAGAATAGCGAAACGTGTCGACTAGTTTTCAACGGCGTTTTAAGTAGTATGTTCCCTCAAGTGAATATTGCTGTCCTTGTGAATCACAACTGACAGAAGGCATTTTAAGTAGTGTGTTCCGTCAATGGAATATTCCCGTCCATGTACAAAACCAAAGATTTATCGTTCGATTTGAGTTGTCGAAAAAGGATAGCCGTTTACCAAAACCGAATAGCTTGCAAACAACTCTGAGTTTCACTCCATGCATTCTACTACGTGTAATACCTTTTTGAACAGAGTGAAAAGGTTAGTCGCCGCTCAGATGGAGCCATATAGTTTGACTCACCTGTAAAATTATAGAGTACACTGACAACGTCCACACACTCAGGTAACAATTTACTTCTGTGGATTTGGCCCCACAGAGAATGATACGGGCATGTGCGACAACACTGTGGCATCGTGAAGTCCCGCCATGGCAACAACTTTGGCGCCTGCACAATAATTGTCAAGACGTCTCAAAACTTTCTTCCAAAACCACCTGAATACTGATAGGTGGAGGTGACTTGTTCTTGCTAGTTGCCATGGTAGATGCGTTTGAAATGGTCTTCCGTTCTCACGACCTCGCCGTGAGCTTCTGACTGTTGCAATTAGACCGGTAGTCTTCCAGTGGGTCGCGTTTATCAACCGCAAAAGAGAACCAAGGCGATAGTTAAGTGCTCACCTGATCCGTTTGGAACATGAAGTTAACTGAGAGGGCACTACTTACAATTAGTTCAGTCTTGCGTTTAGGTATTCTAGTGAACTGTCCTCAGATGTCTCCATATTTGAAAACCAACAAAAACGAGTGATTCAACTGAGTCTTCCGTTAAATTCATGGTCATTTGCGAATGAGTCTTATTCATACATTATGTACCCTTTGGTATTCAAATTGAAAATACAGTTGAACGCGATTCGGGGACTACACCCAATGAATTAGCCTAAAGATGGGCGAAACGATTGGGGAACTGTCGAAGAATTTTCAACAACTCTGTGACCAAACGGTTTTGAAAATGAGCGTATTTGTCGAAAACAGTCCAATTTGGGTCAAGTAGAACATAAGGTTGACGGAAACTCAGGCACTGCGCCTACCTGATGAGCCCCAAGCAGAAGGGCGAAACCGGTCGTGGGCTGTCGAAGAGTTTTCCGCAACCTTGTGAGTAGTTTCCTTTATGAAAATATACTGCGATATATCGAATATCGTGCCAACTGAATCATGTGGCGGCCTGTGTGCAGCACATTCAGTTGTAGAATATCATAAACGAGAGATTCAGTTGAGTCTCTCGTGAAAACCAAAGTAATTTGGAATGAGTATATTTCTTGAACTTTGGGTTCAAGTAGAACATTAGGTTGACTGCGCCTACCTGATGAGCCCCAAGAAGGGCAAAGCCGGTCGTGGGCTGTCGAACCGTTTTCAGCAACCTTGTGAGTAGTTTCTGCGATTTCTCGAATATCGTATCCACTAAAATATGAGGCAATTTTTGTGCTTCACATTCAGTTGGAGAACAGCATGAAAGAGATATTTATTTGAGCCTCTCGTGAAAACCAGATTGATTTGCAAATGAGTGTATGTGTCGAAACCTTATCATGTAAAAATAGTTATTTTTCCTGACGGCCACTTATTTCGTTTTTACGCATTCACCTAACTTTGATGTTCAGGTGTGTACTGGAATGCGTAGACCTGCTTTCAAGCTGACTGAAGCGGGGTGAACGAAATGTCGCAATCTTCTGAGGTGGCACGTTCGACTTTCGCCTGGTTGTAAGCATGTACTAAAATAAACTTTAGCGACTGTGATTCGGTGAACCGAACAACATCAGAAGATGTTGGATCGCGACCTATTTGAGCACCGTTGTCGCGGTATGTTTGGCCGCATTCTTTTCCACTCTTTTCAACGCTTGACTCGTTTCTCCCAAAGCATGGTGCAAGAGCAGTTGATCTCCTGCTGGACGTCTGCAAAAGCGGCCTCCAATATGATCAGCACCGTTGACTGTGATACATCATTCTTTGTTTGGAAGACGGAGAAAGCGCATCGATCTCTTGCCATTGCCTTCAACACACCTCGAACACAAAACTAACTGTGATGTAAAACGAAATTTCCTGGGGTAGCTGTTCATTCCTTGTGTCTTTATGAGGGTCCGCATGTAGTACTCCGGCGTAGCCGGGGCTCAGATTTCCATGACCATGTGAAGCAACCTGCTTGCAAGTGAGCGCTCCTGCAATATTGAATTCAAGCTGGGGAAGTTGGGCACACGATTTTCTGGAGAAAAAATTGTTGAGTGAGTTGTCATACCTACTACTTGGCTGTCTAATGAGCAACACTAATGATAAAAGTACCGATGAAAATATTCATTTCGCAGTGACGGCCTTGCGGTGCCTAGCTGCCATGGAAACCGAAGAAAGCACGAGGACTGAGCTACTTCCAAGTTGTCCAAGCCTAGGCAGGAGCAGTCACAATACGGAGTTTGGGTTCGAATCACAGAACTTGTGATCGGTTTGTGCCTTAACCACCCAGCCTAACGACTGGGTTTTCCAAAACGGTAAGTAATATGTTTTCTGCAATTTTGCAAAGATTCAGGTGTCCTGGGTCAAGAAGAACAGTCGTCCAATCTACGCGTGGTTGTGACGTGCACTGACACACAAATCGTCACTGTGACACATCATCATCATAATCATCATCATCGACAGCATGACATCAGTGTTCAACACCGATGCTTCACTGTCGTGCAACCATGATTTATTTGAAAGGCTCATTGTAAAGAAAAGAGTAAAGGTGGGCGCGGGTGGGACTTGGTGCTAGTTTACTACAATCATTCCGAGGTGGCTACATCTCCACACATTCACTGAGGCAATCTGGATAGAAACTGACAACAAGAACGCCACTGACATCGGTTGGCAGCCATATCCTGTAGTGTCTCCAACCACGCACAGTGAGGATAACGTGGTCCCCACCCTGGCAGGCTAGTAGCACCAACAGCACTCAAGCGTTTCGTGATCTCCTCCATATTCTTCCGCCAAGTCAAGGGTTGTCCGCATCTCTGTTTACGTTACCCTGAATTGGGCAAACGATGATTCCATTCAAATGAATAATTCGGCTAGCTATGCCCTCAGTGAACTGTACATGCCTAAGCCGGCGGTTTAATTCTATTCTGGGCGTTAAGAGTCAATTGCAACACTTGCTTGTATATAGGGGCAGGGCCTGTGAAAATTAGTTTAGGGAGCAGCTGACGTCAGTGGGCTCTTCAAATGCGACAGCAGTGAGAAGCAACGTTGGGGTGTATGCGAAAAACAATGTACTTTGAACAATACAGCAAGACGACAATGGCTGCAGGCTGCCGACATCTATCCAGGGACACTACTGAAAACTGTAAATTTTACGTCAACAGCGGGAATAAATAGGAATTCAAAAAATGAAAGAAAATCAGACGCATTTTAGGAAAAAGGGATCCGACTCTCAGGTCCACGGATTGCTAATGGTAAGCGTCAAGGTCTTTTGTGCAGACAGGCTAAATCGATACCGATCAATAAACAATCAATAGAGTGAAAGCTGACAATTTCGAGTTGATATTGGAGACGAATACTGGAGTCAACTCTGCAAGCAGTGGACAGAATGCATTCATCGGTCGCCGAGGTAATTTTCCACGTTTTAGCTTATACTACAGAGGAAAATATCGGTAGCTCAGGTAGCGTAGATGGTCGTTGACTTGTTCGCTGAGCTGGGCAATTTGATTGCAAACGTTTCATCACCAATCGAGGTGACATCATCAGTGCGTCATTGGGGAGCGTAGTGGTGCGTAGCAGTGGGTTAGTGGCCGGGACTCGAAAGGACAAAGGTCACTGCAGCATCGACCGGATTACGATAGCAGGGGATGCCAAGCCCAAAGGTAACGTGGGCATCGGCGAATGAGGAAAATGGAGCAACCAATGGAACCGTCCAGCCGAACAACTAGTCGCGATCAAAGGTCATCCCTTGCTAGCAGCACGTACATTAACACACGCGTACCACTACTTAGCACACAACCACTAACCCACCGCTACGCACCACTACGCTCCTCAATAACGCACTGATAGTGTCACCTCGATTGGTGATCAAACGTTTGCAATCAAACTGCCCAGCTCAGCGAACAAGCCAACGACGTTTCAACTTGCTATCCACCGATTGATCGGTCAGTCACGTGACTGGGATAATGAGACGATCTGTCTTGCTAATTCATACTTACCTCTACCGCATGTGGGACAGTACAAAACAGGGTGACTGGGTAAGTTGCTTGAAGCCCGTCGGAGACGGATTTTCCCCGCTTGATCACGCCAGGATTACTTGAGCGGCTAGTTACATACGAGGGATTACTACCTGTAATTTCAACCGCCAAGCTCAAAATAATGTCTGCTTATAACGTCTCAGATGGGCCGTCCAATTATATGCGGCCAGTGTGTTTATACCCCTCTCTATCGACGTCAAAACAACAGTTCTCTGTAAAGAGAATGATGCAAAGTTATCCCGAAAATTCTGAGGTAATACATGTCAAACACTTGCTTACGATCGTAAGAAAATGCTCCAATTTTCTAGTCTGATCAAAAGAAACATTTGTAAAGAGTTTACTTCCATACACGATATCTTTTGTGAACTCACTGATAACTGGTCCAGAATTTGCGCGAGTTCAAAACATTAGTTTGCTCAGTAGGAAACTCGCGGGTCGGAATCAGAGATTTGACCAACTAGCTGGTTGACCTGACTATATTGGGATAGTCAGAATTGATTTCACAGGGACCTCATCTCTGTTGGGTTTGGGCGCTCCTCTTAGACGTGAGTTTTTAGTCCAATAGACTAGAGTTATTCGTAATTTTGGGTCGAACAGAAATACTATAGCAACAAAGCGTGACGTTTCCACCCGATATGTTTTTCGGTTGATCGGTTAATATTATCGCACTGGTTTGTGAAACTTCACCCCCTTAGATAGTAGTATCTTCAATTTTTCAGCCATATTATCCATCATTTTCATGAAAACCTGAGTCTTTTTGAGGCTAGCAGAATAGCCCATTGGTCTTAGTTGTTTCTTGATGTTCATCGTAACAACGGTAAGAGACGCCGCTGTTAAGAGGTATAACCAAAAGTATGTCTGCCAATCTCTGAATAGTACACTTACACCTAATTGGCTTCAAGGTCTCCATCAGCCAATGAACCAACTTACGTTAAAGAGATTCACTCTTCACCAAGAATGGATCACAATGGATCCCGCCGGGGCTTGTTCATCTCTGGCAACTTGTGAAATTTGGGAAGTACTGGCATAAATAGGTATGCGGCTAATTCCATTTTAAGCGATCTTCAGCAAGCCTGGTTCAAAAAACCCGACAAACAAGTGGTTGGCTGCACACCAATTCGAGGAATTCAATTCTGGTGTAATGGTGATATTACTGGTTGGGGAGGCATACGAGTAGTATGTTTTCTCGTAAATCCGCTTCGCGTCCCCTGAAAAGTAAGATCTAATACGAAAACTGTGGAGTCGCATTTGCTTGGATTTGAGCAGCAGTGGATGAATATCCAGGAAAGTTCAGGAAGATGCGTTCGAGGAGAAGATGGATATTCATTTTGTGTAAACAAGATGCATATGAGAGTTTTGCTCCCCTGTCCAATAGTCTGTAACTCTTCAGTTGGCATTTTGTAATAAATAACTGTGCAGCGAAGGCCTTTCTTTCACTGGGAACACAACAGATTTTTTTTGGGCGGGTGGGTGGCTATTTTTACGTCTCCCTCCAAAGTTCGAACCAATGGCTTTCCATTTACGTTTGATTTTGACCTGGGGCACAATATATGTGGGACTTATCCTTTATACCCGGCTAGTGAAGGACTAATTTAAGGCTGATGAACTAAGGAATATGGTGGGCCTTACAGTGACTAAGCAAACGCAACACCTGCCTGTTCTTCGTGAAGTTTTCCATCCGGACTATGCAGAGTAAACATCGAGTGGCGATTTTTTCCATTAACCTACGCACACCTTGAAAAGCCGCGCGCATCGAGCTTCTGAAAATTGGCAGATGTCATGTCACATTGATGAACTATCTGTTACGTTACCGAAAAACACAAAGGAACAAGGTGAACACATCATTACCTGTGCTTGGCACAAGTGACAGACCGCCGGTCGTTGAATAGTTGTTGTGTCATACATGTCAGGCTGGTTAATCGCCAAATTGCTCACGTGAAACAATGATAATGACAAGTTCACGAGATAACAAGGAACATTTTGGGCTACTTCACCTCATTAATGTCTGCACCGTGAATTTTTTCTACCCAGCTTGCCTACCTGGGTCCGAAAACGCTAAATGTACCAGTCACTATTACGTTGTGACGAAAACAGGCATACTTTGACACTTTTCCCCACATGATAAGGGTTATCAAACTGAAGAAAACCATTCATAGGTTTGCTGAAAACATTTCGGTTCATTTGTGTCTCACAATTTTGTGTACCACAGTTACTTAAAGCCTGCTTATTATCGTGAACCCCGGATCGGGTAGCCGCCTGATCGCTTGGTGCTCTTGACCAAACCAGAAAAAGTCAACGAACGCGCGAGCCAGCTGCTCTGTTGATCACTGTCGCGTACAAGTGGGTCAAAAAAGTGATACCGAGTGTACAACTCATCTGTCAAGGGCGAGTGAAGAACAACCAATGAAATCTGTCTTAACAAAAAACGGTTATTCCATTGGCTGTTATGTAGTCCCGTTACATTCGCAGCAGGTTTTCCTAATACCCACTAAAGCCACAGTGGTGGCTATGTAAATGCTTGACCAAATTCTTGGAGTTTAAGCTATTCTCACGCAGTCAGTTATCGGTGCCCATACCAATGTCACGCAAGCGAGTATGGACAATTTGTAGTCGATCGCCGAGCATCACCTGGCTCTCCATTCTTCCAATGAGGGTCATCATGGGACTTCGTTTGAGATGCCTTCATTCTGTTTACCCGAGGATGACTGCTAAAGTTCCTCCACGTCGCTTGTCAGTCATCCGAAGGAGGCAAGATGGCTGACATAATGTTGGGTTGCCCAACCCTAGAGAGGATCAGTCGAGTTGCCAAGGTTGGGTTCGATTCTTCCAATTAGTAAGGTCGTGTCTTTACCTCTAAGCCATCTCGAGCTTAGTATCACAATCCACATGAATGAAGCCAATGTTGTGACTATCTAATGTTTTCCCTGCTATCTATACCTCTCCTTACCTGGGAGCAGGCTATCCGTTATAGGGAATATCTGGGGAGATTCGAACCCGGGGCAAGCACCAACTAATGCAACACGCAGTCACGCGTTATTGATGGACATTGTGAAAGAATCACACATAATCAGGGTGTAGTGAAGTCACCTTTCAAACACAGAGTCCACACCACGTTGGCATTGGCTGGCTCTCCAGGGTACCAGAGGCCTCAGGAAGAATGTCTAAGTGACCTGTAGGATTTTTTCCACTTCTAAGCAGGCTACTTATAAGTTGTAGGTGGTGAGGAGATTCGAAGATATTCAGTAAAATTTTGCTCCACATTGTAAGTCACCTAGACAGCCAATCAAGGCTGCATTGGACAAATGGCGATGACAAGCAGTAGATACTACTGTAAACTACTGCATACTACATAGTACTAGCACTTACTACTACCAAAGTATAACTAATATTCACTCACGATTCACAACAACTTTGCCTGCCACAGCTGTCTTGAATACGTTTCGAAAACTCTCTCACGTGACCTCTGGACCACCAAAATCCCAGCCCTCCAAAAGGTTAGGTTATCGGAAAATCTGTTTAGGAGACAATGTAGCACTAACGAAAAGAATCCCGGTTCAGATTGTGCATCCCAACTAAGAGTCCTGCGTGATGGAGAACACGGTGAAACGAATCATTGATTACGGGTTGTCTGCCATTTTCCAGAACACTAAGACATGTGGTGCTTTGACCCAAGAGGCATCCAAGCTAAAGTCAAACACATTCACGCACAAAACGCTGGTTAGTTCGTTGACGCGTTCCTCCAAGCTTTCTGGACATTTCCTTTCAAGGGGAACAATCAGTTTCCACAACACTCGGAACAGTCCTATTCACGTGGCCCTGAAAACGTTCATATAGAAGTTGAAAACGCAGTGCAAGTGCATACAAACCTAACGAGTAACGATTATGACAACTTGATTCCCTAGTTCTCGAAGTAGCAACGATACATAAGCTCGCAAGTACGCAAAGCTGGTGCAGCTCGGCAGTCGACCTCACTGGGTATGAATTAGAACAGAGAGGCGAAAAAAGTGATCATCGATTGATCCTTTCTTTTCTAAGCAAAAAGACAAGCAGATCCGTTTGCAGTGAATTTCTAACTATGGATTTTCCACCAAAAGCTGCTTTTTTTCGACAAAACCGATTGTCAGTGATTCTACACTACTGAGATCACCACTCATTACATTACCACCACATTACAAAGATATACATGTATCGCGATATCTCGAATATCGTAGCGATTGAAACATGAGGCGGCGTGGTGTAGCACATTCAGTTGCCTGAGAACATCACAAACGATAGATTCAGCTGGGTTCCAGGTGAGTCTCTCGAAAAAAACAAATTAGATGGCAAATGAGTGTATATTCGCTAATTCCGTGAAATTTGGTTTCAAGTAGAACATAAGGTTGACGGAAGCCCGGGGACTGCGCCTGCCTGATGAGCCCCAAGAAGGGCGAAACCAGTCGTGGGCTGTCGACTGGTTTTGAGCAACCTTATGAGTAGTACATTGCAAAGAGGTCACTACTCACCCTGTAGTCTAGAGTGCGCGTGATAACTGACCGCTTGAAAAGTTCCATATAAACAGTTCAACGATAATAGCACCGAGAGATGTCAGCCGTCTCTCATTTCGGACCACAGGGGGAATATTGTCGCTCTCCACCGATTTTAATACAAGCCATCTTGATTCGGTTACCTTTAGATGGCCATTGAAAACCTGTAGAAGAAAGCTTCCGCATCATTTCTACCCGTTCATTTTTCAGGATGTTTCCGATATTTTGGTCTGAATACAGGGACGGACCTTACAGGTAAACAACGTTCCCGAGTGGGAGTGTGTGAGGTATTGCACGAAAACACCATTCACTTGTATCGCACGACCACAAAATGTCGTGGGAGAGGATAACCCGTGAGCAACTTCTGTGACCACCGTGTGCGTCCCTATTAACACAAGAACTGATACATTTATTGGGCTGCAATTGTTTATGACTGGATCAACCATTGTCGCCTGTGGTTACCAGGTGAGAGCAACACGCTAGCATAACAACATATCCGCATGTTACATGAGTCCATTGTTCCAAGAAACGCTTGTGATGGCTGGATGAACAATTGTTACCCAGAAGAACTGTACTTGTTTATAGTTGTACATCCAGTTTTCCCTTCAATTGAGGTGGGTATGAAGTGTGGTTGGGAATCGTACAGCTACCCCGATTGAGGTCGTATTGTCTGCAGAAACTGGATACATGTTTTTGCAAGTACACTCAAAACCAGAAGATTAGGCGTCACAAGGTCTTCAATGGTCGACGGTAACTTTGAGCAGACCTCGGAAGCCGTTCTGTACGAAATTCGTTCTGAGGCGTACGACAGACAGATAATTGCGAATCATCGGACGATGATGACTGCTCAGTGTTGGTCGATTCTGCCTCTCCGGCTGCTAGGTTAGTAGGACGAACAACCAAGTTGTTGAGGCAAGGCGGTTCCCATATGCATAAATGCAACGGCGACGAGGTCACTTCCAAGATAACAGTCCAAGATCTTGCGACCGACTTAGTGTCATTGAACTCATTGGATCCTGACAAAAATATGACCCTGGGATTGTCAGGACTGATAGTCTAAGTTAGCTATGACCAAACGAAGTATTTTCTCCTTTGAGGCCGGCCCCGTTATGTCATCTTTTGGGATGTTGTGCCCACGATTGGAACATCAAGATTAGCTCCTCTCGAGCCAGCTACTATCCCATGCCTAGAACTCTAGGCTGTTGAATTGGTGGTTAGGCCAATGCGCGACCTTTCAAGGCAACTTAACTAGAGGGGGACTGCCTAAAATGTAGCGAGGGGGTATGGCGTAAAGGTGGACTATCGGAGTTTCCCTGTAACATTTCGTTTCAAACAGTTTCAGCTTATCTGGATATATACTGATAATTTCAGTACTGCTGATTCACTACTGATTGCTGTGCTCAGTGGAAGCATTCTGCCTGGTGCCAGTACCGGTCCAGTTAAGTTCGCTACACCTATAAGCGTCTAATTATTCCTTGGTAGCCAAGGCTAGTACCTTTCTGTGTGTCAGATCACCATAAGAAGACGTTAAATCATATTCTACACTTGTTTCAAGACGCTTAAGCGCTGAGGCAAAATGATGTTGGAGCATCAAGAGCAGATTTCGCATCAACACCCTCATGCTGACCTCACAAGTGTCATCAACAATCACTCATCAGAAATAGCGGCAACACAGTCATTGTGATAGATAGCTTGTTCCTGGCTGCTTAATGCTTAATATCTCATCCTAAATGACTGGTCATACAAGCGTTTTGGTAAACTCAGTTTCGAATCTCTGACTCAGCGGTCACGTATGTGAGTATAGATGGAGGGGTCTAGCCTATTACCTGAGGGTCAAAACCCAGAGGGCACAAGTTCTTCTGACCGATATAGTTGGGAGAGTAGTTGTGAATCGTTGATCTCTAACAAATGAAGCTTTTCGAAGTTCTCGGGTGCAAACTTATTGCGTTCTGATTTTGATGGAACAGACCAGCTATGGGGTTACTGAATGCTTTTCGACAGTTCATCACAGGTTTTGACTTATTTAGGGCCTGTTTTCAGAGTTTATTTAGTTAAATTAGTTAATTTTCTATGGATCACTATATCAGTAATTACAGATTGAATTATTTCCCACTTACTACTCATAAGTAGTGTTCCGAGTGATTTGGAATACGCAAAAGACATGAGCCTTGCCACATAGACTGAGAACCGAGACAATAGATCTGTCTTTCGAAAACATCACAGTAACTGTTCAAACCGACGTCCTAGTACCAACTGTTCATCTACGATTGCTTCTTTTTGAGCAGTCTCACTTCCGTGAGAGGAAGAGACGAGGAAAATGTGACGGTTTTTGAAGGACACTACAAGAGTCACAGGGCTAGTTACTCTACACCTGTTGGCTAGGTCTCACCATGGGTAAGGAATCCCAACGGTCAACAATAAGGAATGTCTACCTGAGAGTAGGAGAACAAACAAGAGACGGATGTGGAATCCTAGCGGGGATGATGAAACTTCCTCAGGTGTATTTCAAGTGAGGTGGAGGCTTCTCAGACAGTATGACCAAGCAGGATGAACCCATGTGGGTCCAATAGTGTCGCAGTCATCTCGACTTCCGTACATATGTGTGGCTGACCCGTATTCAAAGCAGCACGGGTCGCTAAAGAGCGTGCCCCCTGTGCGGTGTAAATAGCACACGATGAGCAAGATTGCCCGTCCATTAAAGGTAGCGTGTTTTTCAGAGGTGAAATTCCAGAGAGATAGTGTAAAATACTGGTCGCGCGGTTCGTTTATCTCTCACTTCACTAATACAATAGGAACATCCATGATGACTGCCGAAACAGGTGGAAAATGCTCCTTGAGAGAATATCGTAAACGAGAGATTCAGCTGAGTCTCTCGTGAAAACCAAATTGATTTGCAACTGAGTGTATTTCTCGAAAACAGTCCAATTTGGGTTCAAGTAGAACATAAGGTCGACGGAAACTCGGCGAGTGTGCCTACCTGAGCCCCAGGAAGGGTGAAACCGGTCGTGCGCTGTCGGATAGTTTTCAGCAACCTTGTGAGTAGTTTCCTTAGTCAGATTCATTCGCACAGATGACAATCTATCTCAGGTTTTGGAGAGACTGCATTTGGGTTGCCTTTTCAGGATGAACTTTTTATTGGTTACAAAAATAATTCAAGAATGCTCCCCAAAATACGCGAAGAATGTTGTCAGCTCTGGGGTCGAGATGGCTCCATGGTTAGAGTACGGATTTACTGACCGGAAGGTCCGTGTTTTATATACGTTCATCGCTAAACCAACTGACACTGATCTACAAATTATTCTCCGGAATAGTTCCTCCACCGGTACGCTCTCTAACAAAAACCCAACAGAAGATCAGCACCTACGTCGATGGCTTTGAGAATAATCTAAGATGGGGAACTAGTTCAGGAACTCACTTTTTGCCAGGTGAAGGAGTGTGAAAGCCGTATGCACCTCAGACATCCAGTAAACGTATTGAATCTAAGCTGGTGTCATGACAATTCCCCCATTCACTCGCTTACGCCACCCGTGTTGTACTGTTGATCCTCACCTGGTTTGCTCTTCCGTTCCCGCCATTCACCTTCCTGCGAATGCCGCCAGGTCCGACACTAGTATGCTAACATGAGCCCGTAACTAACCTACTTACCCATGCATGATCTTGCCCCGTTTTCTGAGCCTGCCTTGACCCGTTCTGCTGTGATTTCCGTGTGATTGCACCTCCAATCAGAGTCACGAGACTGTCCTCGGAGGGGGCAAGCATAACCCACACTAGCGAGCCAACATTCCGCTCAACGTTTTTTCTGGTGTGCGAACCTTGACACTGCACTGCACCGGTCAGTGACAGAATTTCGCAGCCGGTTTTCCCTTTTGAGTGACTTTGAGTGACTCAAAGTTCCCCGTCGGGAACCACGCGACGTAGCCTGGGAAAAGCAGTGAAGGCTCGCGACAAAGTCGTCGGGTGGATAAACAATACACGATCACATTTAGCTAGCTGCTGGTCTGACAGTTCCTCAACACCCTGACTTGAACGCAACACCTGTCAAAAGCACCGAAGATCGAATGAACTTCCCGTCAAATAAAGCGAAATTTACTCCCCAGCGGTGTCCTGGCAGGTGAACACCAAGTTTAATCTTCACACTCTTGAGTAAACGGACGGTTTTATGCTCAGCTGACAGCTTCGTTTGGCACCATACTAAAAGCTTAGCGGCCATCCCTTGGGTTTTAAACTGTCAAACTGAGTGAGCTGTTTTCATGAAGGAAACTACTCACAAGGTTGCTGAAAGTCCGTCGACAGCCCACGACCGGTTTCGCCCTTCTTGGGCTCATCAGGTAGGCGCAGTCTCCGAGTTTCCGTCAACCATATGTTCTACTTGAACTGAATAAGTTTTTGTTGGCCGTATGATACTGATCAATTCGTAGCTAGTAGTATCGAGCTCGCCTCAAATCAGCCAAGTATTTCCAAGTCACTAGCATTACTCTGCCGCCCCAATGCATGGTTTTTGGAACACTTATCGAATAGTGTCCACAGCTATGTGAGTCTTGCTCTCATATGTTGGCATATCCCCTTTCCCTCTCGGCTTCCCCGCTCTAAGCTTGGGCAACCTGGCAGTATGCCAACCCTCGTGCTTCCTGCGGTGGGCATGGCATCTAGGCACCGAAAGGGTTCTACAGCTGAACATTTTTCACCCTTTCTGCGGGCTTCTGGCTGGAAATTTCGGGATTCTGAGAAACCTTTCCCATATTGAATAGTTGCTGGGAATGCGATTTTACTTCGAAATTTGTTGAGCTACTTGTAGGAACGTGTTGAAGAATATTTTATTGAAATGCAGGTTTTGTTTAACCACCCCGTTTTGATCTGGATTTCTGAAGTCACTTGTAGGACACTCATTTTTCTAGGAATATCATGGGGTTTAGATGAAAGCCGTAACTGACAGTTCGGGCGACGAAATGCGTTCAGTGTTGGTGGGTGGTGGTTGACACATCCGATCTCGGCACTGACGTCAATGAGACTCAGGACAACAGCAGAATTGAACGCATCGTCAAATCAGGGGTGGACAACGTCGAATTGACAGACCTTGCATGCAAGTTATGGGCGGTTTCAGCTAGATACGGTTACTTCTTCAAGCAGCCTAAACAATCAATCCCACGTCAATTTTCCACTGTTGAATAAACGAACCCTGTTTTACAAATTTATCATCTTGTTTTGTACTGGTATTCACTTTTGGTTTAAACAATAAGGATCTAGGACTCTAATGTCTGACTGAAATATAAAAGCTTGAATAAGGTTGGAGGAGAGGAAGTTGGTTTGAAATAAGTCTGAATTGATGCGCTTTCCAGTCATACACGGGACCACGAATATACCGTCCGGGTTTCGAACCCGACCGCGTTGTCTTGACTGCTCCTGTTTAAACTTGGACAACTAGGCAGTAGCTCAGCCCTTTTGCTTCCACCGGGAGGCAGTGTGCCTCTCCGGGTAACAAAAGACATCAAATTAGACGTAAAAATTGGTGACTGAAGAGGAACAAACTTGAGAAAAGGGTAGTGAATTGGTTCATACGGCATCTTCATACGCTGTTTAAGAATCATGACCGCGTGGTCAGGAACGCGAGTTCAAAATGTGGCAAACTGTGTCAGGCGGTAGTTGAAAGAAGAAACTTGGCTCGATGGCTTAAGGGATCTATGTGGGGGGAAAACAAGGGTCGATTCTTACCGTATGTGATAAAACTGCCGATAAAACACGCGGGACAAAAAGCGTCAGAATTTGGGTCGCAATACAGAGCGAAACAACTTGTATTCTATGACAAATCGATGTTTCACAGTCGAAGATAACATTGGGGTGTGTGAAGTTTGGATGATAATGCTCCCGTGGATGACAGTGTAAGTTAGCGAATATACACTCGTTTGCCATCTAATTTGTTTTTTTTTTCGAGAGACTCACCTGGAACCTGGCTGAATCTTTCGTTTGTGATGTTCTCAGGCCACTGAATATGCTGCACCAGGCCGCCGCATGTTTCAGTCGCTACGATATTCGAGATATCGCGATACAT